TCGAGGACTCCAGTGCAGCGCGGGCGGCGACTGGCCCCCTCGTCGGCTCTCCCGCCGACTGGATCCCGATGAAGAGGAAGGTTCCCAAGGGGTGGCTCGTCTGCACGTATCGCCACTGCAGGTTCCACTCGGGCTATGAGTTCGACGGCTGCCCCGCGTGGGAGAAGAAGTCGCGCCAGCGCTTCAACAGCCACACCGACACGCACCGTCCCAAGGGGAAGAAGCTCTTCGAGGTCCCGTGCGACGCTTGCGGAGAGCTTCTCTCCAGGAAGGACGTCCTCACCCGCCACCGCAAGACTTGCGCGCTGTGGAAGGCCAACAACCCGGGCGTAGTGCCGGGAAAGGGAACAGGAAAGGCGAAGGCGAAGGGAAAGGCGCAGGCGCAGGCGAAGGCGAAGGCGAAGGCGAAGGGAAACGCGAAGGGGAAGGGAAACGCGAAAGGGAAGGGAAACGCGAAGAAGGGCGGATCTGCAAACGCAAAGGCGGGGCCGTCGCGCTTGGCCGCTTAGGACAATGCCTGCTATGAATTCGTATGGACTGTATCAGTATGCTATTCTGTATAAAGAGCTCGTACACGGACGGCTCACTTCTCGTATCTTGTCTCGTAAACCCCAATATGATCGATGTATCGCTTTAGCTGACCGAACAGTATGATGGTATTGCGTGGATGGTCTTCAGACATGGAGTAATCGGTCGTTGGCCGTCGCGGGATAGGCAAGTATGAGATAAGCTCGGCGTTGGATTCGCGCTTGACCGTCGTTCTCGGCTCTAGAGAATGAAAGTTAGTATGAGTAAGGGAGTATAGACGGTTCAAAAGGTCTATGAGCATACGTCTGACCTCCAGAGGACGGGTTGGCGTTCAGAGTAGAGTCGGAGGGTTGGCTGCGCGGAAAAGGAGGTGAAAATCAGACCTCAATCGTACATACCCACGCTATGAGACAATAGTACATCCCTCTCTCGAATATTCATTGACAGAACAATGACAGTATGATTCAAACAGTAGCAGACGATCAAACCGCTGAGTCTTTGCCAGTTTTCGTGCGGCCCGGTCTCCGCCGGCGCGACGCGATCACCTCACTTCGCGGACTGTCCGCAACCAGCATCACCTATAATCGGCTCACTGGACGACTCTGCTGTGCTTGGATCTGGCGCCGCTGAAGCCCATGTGGTGCTTCATCTTGTAGGATGTATTTCCTTAAGGAAGTGTATGAAGCTGATGCCAACGTCTTTAGGCTCATGACCACACCACGTACGACTTGCGCACGACAACAGTGGGGTCGAGAGCAGCGGTCTTCCTCCCGATGCTGTCCACCGGAAAGGAGACGTCGAGATCGTGAAGGCTGACCAAGAAGGTGATGACCTCGCTCGCTCTGTAACCTAAGACCGTCAATTGATCGTGGACGTACAGGCTACATACGCAGCTACATCGTCCTCCCATCCACGAGTTGTGGTATCCTCACTGGGCCCGTCGCCGACGCCAACATCGAGCACATCCACTCAAGACAGATTCCGGAAGCGATAGTGATAGGCATGAAGCGTGGGCAAGGCGGAATAGTCGGTAAACGCTAAACGTCTGGCCGCATGTCGAGATTCACGAACGTACGTCCGCATTCAACCCCAATCTCTATGCTCTTTGTCATGTTGAACACTACACCAGACGGCTCGCAGCGGCTATTTGGTCACACTCCGTTCGGCGCTCAACGGTACAGCACCACAGGGCCGTGGAGGCTTCTGCCCTCGACGCCAACGGGCACTACGGTCCTCTGAAACGCGACGGAAGTATATCCCTCTGCGCTCTGCAACCTCAGCAAGAGCGCATCTCACAAGCCCACGACATACACGAAAGAAGACATCGACAAGTTCCCCGGCGAAAACGACCACCTCGGTTCAACTTCAAGTGCAGGGCCGTGCGCGCGGAGGAGCGCGGGTGGAACCCGAGGAAGACGACGGGCGATTTCTACGAGTTCATTCCGAGTGAGGTCGTGGCGATGGTTAAGGATCCGTTTAGGTCTCGTAAGTTCTAGACAGTCGATCTTGAGTATCGTGCAATATGTGTACAGCTTCACCTGGTAATTCAGACCGATGCATGGACTGAGACAGCCGGCAACACGTCGTTCGTTGCAGTCCGCGCACGATGAGTCGCGGCGATGGCGTATATTTTGGGTTATGACTAGCCAACTCGCCGGCCGCTGGCCGCTGGTTAGGCCTACAGCCACAGCCCGCGATACGCCTTCTGGTCTTCCCATCGCCTCACTTCGTTTTTCTTTTCAGTCGTGTATTCTTGATGTTGGGCGGCGTACACGGACCGCTCATTGGATATTGAACGCATCGATATTGGCACCCTTTCAGTCCGACTGACACGTCGTCTGCTTCGCAGGTCGACTCCCGAAGTTCATAGCTCTTATCGCGCAGCGAATCCCCCACAGTGTGGATGTGTGAGGAGTCTGGTATATTGAACGTCCGAGATGATTCATGATCTAAATACACTGCACATCCGACCGTTTGACATGTAACAAAATGAATGTGACATCACAATTAGCTCATAATTCGTCAATCCCGATACATTGCCGGCGGAGTGGGAGGCTGAAGATCCAGGATCGCTTCGTTCAACAACGCCAGAAACTGATCATGGCTAATAAGAGGTGGAATGGTGAGGAATTTGGGTCTCTGATCCTCCTCCCTCCTGTCCGGGTTCTGTTTGCGGTGCTCGCGCTGACGCTCGAGCATGGCAAATTCCGATCTAGTCGACCGCTTCGGAACTGCCTTGATAGCATCGTGTGGACTGCCCCAGGAGTTCGCGAGTTCGCCGAATAACCTGATTATCGGCTGTCCGATTGCTTCACTCAGAAGCCAGTCGTCCATCACCTCTTGCTCCTCGTCGATTTGCATAGCTCCCTGAGCGAACTGTTCCTCGCGCTTCATGATGGCATTGAATTGAAAGGACACCCACGCAACGGGGTGATCTTCATTGATGCTTTTGCGCGAATCGAGCACTTTCCCAAGAGACGTGTGCCCAAACGCTTTATCGTAGATGGTCTGGAGTCGACTCTTGACCACCGGTGGCGTCGCTGGGTGTTCGATGTTGCGACGCAGTATAGCGTACGCAAGAACGTAGACCATGGACTCGACGTCGTGATGGGCAGCATGTGGGATAGTGTCCTTCTTCTGGTTTGCGGTGAGAATGTCGATGGCCATAAACTGCGTGGTTCCCTGAAATGAATCTTCAGTCAGTCTAGGAGTAGGTGACAAAGCAATCGAGCTTACGGTCATAGGCAAACCCCTCTTGGGCTCATTAGGCCAGGTCCTGTGTGTAGGTTGTGCCTGCAACTGTGGCACATGTCCCGAGGCACGAGGGTAGTAAGCCGTGAATTGCTGATTCATCGCTTGTTGTGTTCGGGGGAACAAAGCGTGCTGAGGAGGGTCTACGTGGGTACTATTGCTGAGAACTTCATCGGATATGCGAGCAAGCTCGAAGTCTACCAGGAATCCGGACGCTTGAGACGCAACATCTGCGGATAGGAGGACATTCCCAGCACTAATATCCCTATGAAGGATTCCCTTCTCTTGAAGACGGTCATGGACTGTGAATACCAATCAGTACAGCTTTCGCTCTGGAGTGATAGAAGACGAACCTCGGACCACATCTCTGAACCCGCAGAGAAGCTCGCTGAGACTTTGATAACGCCAGATCGAGCGACCGACGGTGTCGAGTATGAGGCGGTGGAGTGTAGCCGTGGGAACGCCATCTTCGCGGCG